AAATGTCCGAGTTAACTGAATTTCGGATTATTGAGTATACCATCAAAACAAAATGAAAATGGACTCATTACAGACCTTTACTTCATGAAAAACTGCATCAACTTTGTCCGCCTCGGACTCGGATTAGTGCTAGAACGATCTTCTTCAACACCATGTGGTGATGGTGTGCACACTGGCTGTCGCGAGAACTGATGCCGAACTCCGCGAAGACAGTGAGGGCTTTGGCCGCCTCCTGCACAGTGCGATGTCGTTTCGGCTTATCTTGAATGTCATCATTGAAACTGTGATTCTGATCCTCTTCAAGCACTTCCGATATTACGTCATCATCAACATGCACAAACACAGCCAGACAACGTAACGACAGTTTGCATGTCAATGCGCCAACTTGCCCAACAGTCAACTCCTGATGTACCCGAGCTGCACACGCTGTGCGTGAAGTTACAAGGCAAAGAAATCAGCCGCGTAGGTCTCGCGGGCAACTGGGATAGCAGCGACTGTGCAAACCATTGATTGATTGATTGATTGATATGTGGGGTTTAACGTCCCAAAACCACCATATGATTATGAGAGACGCGGTAGTGGAGGGCTCCTGAAATTTCGACCACCTGGGGTTCTTTAACGTGCACCCAAATCTGAGCACACGGGCCTAACAACATTTCCGCCTCCATCGGAAATGCAGCCGCCACAGCCGGGATACGAACCCGCGACCTGCAGGTCAGCAGCCGAGTACCTTAGCCACTAGACCACCGCGGCGAAGCGGCTGCGCAAACCAGAGAACATAAGCAAACTGTCCCGCCGTCCGCGCATGCGATGCCATTTGCGGCGCATTTTTCCAGACACTGCATGCACCGGCGGCCCAAGCGCCTCTGCCGGGTAAAGCCCCTTGGGTGGTGACTAGCACCACCTGTCCGCTTCCCCTCTCATTCACTATCATCATGATTATATTCTGCTGCTGTCAGTTCGGTTTTGGTTTCTCCAAAACTTCGGTTTCGCCGCTGTAACCGACGGAGTAGCCTGGACTGCATGCTTTCAGTAACCGCAATTGGTTACTGAAAGCATGGAGCCCTGACAGCCCTCTCAGGAATCGTCCGAGTTAACCGGTGCGTGTATAAATCTCTCCGAATTAACGAACATTTGACATTATTGAAATATACACAGTTTTGCCGGGACTGGGCCACGTGTCCAAGTTAACCGAATTTTCTAGTTAATGAGATCCAGATAAACGAGCTTTTACTGTACCTTCAAAATGCGTTTTTCTCAAGATCCATTTTTGGCCAACTTCTTGAGTTTAGATATTATGTTTTTGATACTTCTGATAGCCCATTCAGGATGAAATTTTGCCCACATAATTTGTAATACGTGAAGGGTGCATCTTCTTTAAATCTTGATGTCATCTGTATAATTATTATAAACCTAAAGTAAGCAATTAGTATATGATGAGGATTCTGAGAATTCTGGCAATGCAAAAATTTTGCGCACCCAAATGTTTTAAATGCACTTTCTTGATAGTTGTTTACATTCTAGAGTTAAGGTTGAGAAATTTTACTCATTATTGGCTCAGAACCATCAATGTTCAGTGGAATAAAAAGTGTGTGCGAAACGAGCTGAACACCTTGTCATGGCGCAAAGCGAAGGCTGTGCAATTTACTATGAAAATAATTTCATATTTAAATCAGCATAAACATATATATGCAACAAAAATGTCATTGCCCTAGGCCAGAGAAAAACGATACTTTTATTTTGAATCTGATGTCCCTGTATTGCAAATAAATGTCAGTGACTTACTGAGGTGCTGAACACTGAACCAGCAAGCTCTTCATTGTTGAAGCTCTGGGCCTTTTCAGCGTCCTTTGAGGCTTGGTCAAAACGGGTGTGCACTAATGGACATGTCATTATTTGTTAAGCAATTAGACTGAATAGCACGTGAGAACGGCCCGGTGTAATTGTTGATATGGGTAATACAAGCTTGATATTGGTGCCAAGCTTGTTTACCTGCGCCATCCTGCGTCGAATAGCTCCTGTTGCTTAAAACTTGTTTATCGGTACCATACTGTGTCGCAGAATCTTAATATAGCCACAAGGTGCTATAGCCATTAAACATCGTGCCCTAAATATGTTTTAGGCATCTCATTTTCAGTTTTATTGAGGCTGTTATAGTATCGGCGACATCAAGGCTGCGATCGCTCGAGCAGCAGCTGTCAACATTGATTCTAAAGGTGCGGTCGGGATTGCGCGCTATTTCGGCAGGCATCAGTGCGAATGACTCCTAAACCCTTCTGCGTGTTGCGCTCTCAATGTGGGGACACTGTGGAAAGAGCAGTTCTCCTTGGGACGGCCATATTTTCTCACACCAGCGTGTTGTAGAGTTGCGTGGTATCGGTTCCAAAATAGTTAGATACAAGTCTTACTTTGGATAAAATTACAATTTGTTGCTATCGCATTCATTGCTTCGACATTGCGGTAATACTGTGTTTTTTTTGTAACTGCAAGGCAGAATTCAGGAAAGAAAAAAAAAAAAAAGGGATGACTATAATGGTACTAAAAAGAAGGTTGGGGTCCTGTTGTCGGAGCAGCCTAGAAAAGACTGGTACATATGACTACTTATCAAGCGCATGCCCGTATTCTCGCTCATTTGCAAGGGCGGAGCAATGTATGCAAAAGCAAAAAATGTAATGTTATCGAAGTGAAGCTGTTAGCTAACTTTTTTGAATCTGATCCTATGCAACTCTACAAAAAGTTGATATGAAAGAAAACGGCCACCTCTAAAAAAGCTACTTTTTTTTGCACTCTCGATTCGTGATGAGAGCTCAGCACGTAAAAGTGTATGCAAGCCACCTGCTGATGGTCATCGAGCAAGTGCGTGCGCCAGAGATTGCGACTGCGCCTTTAGAAGCAAAGTTTCCAATTGCTACTCATGCGACACCCCCAACCCCACTTTACCCTCGCGTTTTTCTATGCTTATTCAAGAAGGGCAGTGTGTTTCTTCTCTGCTTGTAGGCTGCAGGCCTCCCGATGAGGTGATTTCATCGCATGTGCCTTCCAAGCAACAGAGTTGGGATGGCTTATTTGATCTCTACGTCAGCCACATTCGGCGCCCCCGCTCGCGCACTTTCACCCGGGGCAGAACATACAATGCGTGGTTGGATGTATTCAATGTCGATTTTATACTGGGCTTGACTGCAATGGCGATTGCAAAAACTCTAGGAGTGCCCATATAATTGTTTTCATAAAACAATGAGGGTATTGCTAAATGTATTTTATTGGTTGAAAAATGAAGCATAATAGAAGTGTTTATTCACAAGTGCTGTGAAAGGGGGCTTTATCTAATCTGAATATTCTTACTGCTCCCAACTCCCTCCAACAGGCCCTTCTAGCTGCTCCAAGCCTGCTACAAAAAGCACTTTTGCCTGATCCCAGGACTGCTTTCAAACCTATGTACCATATTCCATCCCTCTGTTGAGTTAATGGAAATTGAGTCACGGAGCCTTTGCCGTCTTTGTTTAGATTCATTCTTATGAATTGTGACATTAAATTTTTTTGCCATATAAGGATGTTGGTATCACACGAGGCAAAATTTTGAAATAGGATTGAAGCTTGGCCAAATTGCAGTCAATTGCTGGAAAATGTTGACTACACTCGATGAAACATTGCAGATAGAGCTGCTTGATATGTCACAAAAGAAGCAAGACTAGCATTAAAAGCGGGTTCAAAGTGAAGGATTGACTTTGGCAATGGTTACCAAGCTTTTATCCACTGAATAAAGTACAGTAGACTCTCAGTAAACGGAAATCTGTTAAATGTAACTACTACTTAAACAGAACTATTTCCTCTGCAATGGTTGGTTTTAGGCTTGTATTCTGCACCCATGTTCGCCGCTCAGTAAACGGAACTCCTGTTAAATGGAACGTATTTTACCGGTCCTTTCCGGTTCCTTTTACTGAGAGTCTACTGTATGTATTCGAACAGAGTTTGTGATGAAATGTGACAGCTTTTCATTGTTGTTTAACTCGATTATTTCAAAACCATGTTATTTTGGTATTAGGTGCAGTTATTTCGAATGTATGTGAAGATAATTTTGCGTAAATACATGCAGCTACTGAAGCAAAATTGAAGAGATACACTTTACAGTTTTGGTGTTAAAAAATTCATAAAAATTACAATTTTCAGATTTTAGTAAATCTGCTTCTGTTAAAAGAGCAAAAAAAATGGAAAGGAAATGATGCATTGATTATGTGAATATTCCTTTGTCACTGAGAAAATGCTACCTCAAGTGCTCTGAGGAGGGTATGGTAGGATAAACCCCCTAAAAAAACGAATTTCTAGTTATGACACCAAAAAATCTAGTATACTTTGAGGAACAATCCTGTGGAAGCCCGATGTCGAGCAGTCACTTTAAGTGGTTTGAATGTCGCGCACCCTCTAGCATAAGAACTACGAGCACACAAAAGTTCTTTTATCTCAAATTGCATTTTTTATAATTTTTTCAGCTTCCATGTACATTTTCTTGAAAAGTATTGAGTCAATTTTGATGAAGCCTTTGTGTGAGCTACAAGTTAGAAATAAGCTGAACTAAAAAAAAAAAAGATGCTGATTCTTTCAAGTGTACAGCTGTAGAAAAATTACACAATATGCACCCTCTGTGGCCTTTTACATGTTGTAATTTTACTTTTTTTATAAGAACTTTACGCAAAATGTAATACTTTTTAAGTTCAGATGTAATGTATGTGTCTCTACAACAACATGGCTGAATGTTGAGCATGTAAAACTTTATCATGCAGACACTTACAACATATTTCAACAACTCAAACTAACATATACCATTCACCCTATCATGCCCCTTTAATAGATTTTGTTTGCAGAGAGTCTACAGTGCTTGTGTTTTGAACTTAGTAAATATTCATAGTTTTCATGAGATTCCATCAGAGAAGTTCACCTGTTCGTCGATCGTTCTCAGTAAGCTAATATATATATATATTTTTTTTCTGCTTTCCTGTCATCAGTATGCACACAAGTTGGCCAGCCTGGTTGGTGACAACATCCACAAGGAACCAAGCCCATTCCTCTGTGACCGCCTCTTCTACTTGTGAAGGCCAGGATTTCATGTGAAGGTGCCCAAGAGGTCACACCTTGATCACTGCCATTTTTTTTCACTGTTATGTGTGTGTGTTCTGAAATCAGTACTTTTTTTTTCCCCCTGTGAAGCAATCATTTTGAAGAAGTTGCTATCCCCCACCCCTTTCTTTTCCCTTGGCTGCATTGTCTGAGTAAAGGCAGCTTGCATTTTTTTTTTCACTTCACAGTTCTATAGGAATTTTATTCTGTGCAATGTGAGCTAGTATTTGAAAGTATGCTACATTTAGTTCTCATGGTTGTAATCATGTCATTCTACAGCTTTTAATTCAGCTCCATTGTCCTCTCGTGTTTGCGTGTTCATTGGCAGTAATTGTCATTCTCAATTCATTCAATCTTATTTAATATTTGTTAAAAGTGCCTTACTAGTCACAGTTTGCGTTTAATGATCACTGGCCCCGTTCTGATAAAGTGAGGGTATGTGCAAGAGAATGTCCCAAGATTTGCAGTTGACAGTAATAATATGGAACCATTTACTTGTGGGAGATGACTTGTACGCATGTGAAGATTGCTTTCAAATGTGTACTATTTTTTGAGATGAACATTTGGTTTTTTGTGTTACTAATTATTTTATGACAAGTTAAGCCTACTTGTACATAATTGGCTTGTGTGCAAATAAATAATGTCAATTCCTCAGTTGGTGTAAATTTGCTTCAATCAACTTCAACAAAAAAAGTCCCAATGGTAGAATGTGAAGTAGACCCAAGCTTACCTCCCAGAATTTTTTAATAGAGTATGTTAATGGCGTGGTGTTTCTGCCAAAATCAAGGGCCGTGAGATTCAGAAAATTGTCTCGGTCTCTAAACAGGTTTGACTCGTAGTCATGCTAATCGCAAAATGGAGGTAATGGTGATACGAATGAGGTAAGCAGTGGTTCATATGGCTACATTTCATATGCTTGCCTAGCTATCTGCGAAGATTACCGTACTTACTCGCGTAATGAACCCACTCGCATAATAAACGCACCCCCAACTTTATTAATTAAAATTTGGATTTTTGTTTCCTCGCGTATTAAATGCACCTCCTACATTCATCCTCTACAGTCCTGCTAGCCGACACCTGGCACCTCCTCACCCATTGGATTTCTTCGGTTTTTTCATTATTTTGCCGACCCCCTTGGCCACCATGGCTCCCCCCCATTCGCGCATTGGTGGGTGCCCTATTTTTCTTTCCATCTGTGCACCACATGTCTCCCCCCTGTCTTATCAGTGCACCACAGTGTGAGTGTAGAGACCTGGCAGCTGATACCATCACTCCATGTGTTTATCAGCTGCCATACCCTTGACTACCCCCTTGCTGTGCGCAGATAAGTTGGGGACATGCCACGCACAGATAGAAAGAAAAACAATAAGCAATGCTGCCTGTGCCAACCGATATAAGGTTGCTTCCTGCAAATAAGAAAAAGCCCAATCGTGCGCGCGATATTTTCGAGCGATGACAGGAATTTTTGTGGTGAAGGGTCATTGGTCGCTATCGAGTCGCAGGTTTCTGGAAAACCAGAAAAAAAAAAAAAAACACTTGTCGTCCAGAAAAGATCGTGACGATTCCCGCAACATGGTAGCACCCATTGCTTCGCTTGCTATCCATGCATAGAGGAACTTCTCATGTAAAAGCGAAGCGGCAGCTGTAATTTGTGGTTAATCTTGTCATCGACGGTTTGTTTTGATGCTTCGGTGGTAGCTCGCTACAATGTTAACGGTGGCGTCACGGTTGTTGTGCGAGGTTGCTGTGTAGTTGGCAAAGTGCGTCGTAGCGCACGATCTTGGGCACCCCTCGAGATCACTGCAGATACCACTACTGCGATTAAACGATTGGAAAGAAAGATAGCCGCAAAACGCTTTTATGACGTGCGCGGGTGGCCCGGGGACAGCTTGCAGAAGATAGCGCCAGATGAGTGAAGTGCAACAAAGAAGCTATTTCTAAACAGTGTACGCGCATGTAAATTGCAAAAGGATAAGCGACCTAACTTTTTTTTGTGTTACCACATTTTTTGCTCCTCTCGAAAAAATTTTCGTAAACTTTACTCGTCGTAATAAACGCACCCCCCAACCTTGCTCTGATTTTTCAAGAAAAAAAAAAAAAAGTGCGTTCATTACGCGAGTAAATACGGTTCTAGAGAGAAATTAGCAGTTGGTGTTCATTTTCAGGTCTGTGGCTTGGCTATATAGTGGGGTGCCCATGGCAAATACATTTTCGCACCCTTCATGATGGTCACACTGATTATTATTATTATGTGCAGAAAAGGCCATCTGGCTGTTCTGGGCAAGGCAATTACCGTATTTACTCCCATAATCCTTGCACTTTTTTTTGACGGAAAACCGATGCAAAGTTGGGGGATGTGAGAATTACGTGGGGAAAACTTTTCACGGAAACATACAGAGCAAAAAAGAAAATGAAGTGGCCGCAAATCAGGATTCTCACACCAGCAACGAACAGCAAGCTTTCAGAAGCACTAATTAAAACTTACCTCAACAATAAAAGCACAGGTTCAACACAAGGCAAGTTTTATTTGAGACACAAAAAGTGCAAGCGAATAGTCAATAATTGGGATACCAAACGCAAAGCTTGTGGGTGTTGCGGGCGTAGAGGTAGCGTTCGTCGCTCAACAGGAGCCCTCAAAAGGTAAGCGTAGGACGTTAGTAGTGGGTTGATGGCTATTCAACAGAATCGTCCGCAGTTTCCTTCTGAAGAAATTTACTATCAGTTTACTATCAATCCCAGTTTTAGGCACATGGAAGGCCCAACGTGTCTTGGTGGCATTCAGCTGCAGTCACCAGTAGCGAACACAAAACTCGGTAGACTCCGAAGGGCCTACCGGAGGCCCTGTAGCCGTTGTTTAGTGCATGATCTATCACTTTCAGCTTGAAATTAGCCATGTAGCTTCGGTATCGCCCCATAACGTGACAAGATTACCGACACAACATACAAAACACGCCGCAACGCGCACTTGCCACTTTGGCTTGGTTTGGCTTGAATTGGATTGAATCTCCGTGCAATAATAGTATGCTTGATGCTTAAGAGATGGTGCCAGATGATGCGTGCTATCATCATCAGTGGTTTGAATGAGCAGATGACTACATTATTGCGGCAGTTTTTTTGGGGGGGGGGGCGGCAATAATTACTGGAGGAAAAAAATAAATCATATTTTTGTAGGGCAATGTGCGGGTTGCGAGAATTATGCGAGTGTGAGGATTACGCGAGTAAATATGGTAGTGACATCTTGATTGTTTTGATTGTTTGTTCACTACAGTGAATTAAAGCAGTCTTTCAGATTTGTACATCGTTTGTATGCCAGAAGTCTAAATATTGGAAAAAAAGTTAAAGAAATGGACCTTGCTGGTCGCCTGTTGTCTCGCTTGAGACACGATATTGTCACGTGGCCATGCTGTTTACGAAAGCAGAAATGGGCGAAGTAAGAAAATAATGTACAACCACACAGTAGAACAATGAAGAAGGCATGTAAAAAGTTTTTATGGTTTATGGTGGCATTACCATGAAATGTATTTTAAAAAATTTATTGGTGACATGAAATCTGCATGCTATGCCTACTTTGTCAATGCTAATGCGTTGAAGGACTTGTTCCTGGAGACCCTTTAGTCTTCTCGCGTAGTGTATTGTCTTTTGTTATGTCAGTGCGGATGATCGCGAACACTTGCAAAGAAAAAAAGACAATTTTTTCGATTTTGCAGTCTTTTTTGAGCACGATCTTTGAGAACCAGTATCTTGGTCTAAAAGTAAAGCGCGTGCTGCCATTCAGGGTGTCAGCAAAAGGGTGTCAGTGCAGAACACGTCGAGACAGGCAAGCAGCCGCGCAAGTTCGAATGAATGTAAGGCCTGACCACATGTACCCGTTGTAGCGCGTGGCTTTTGACGCGGCGCCGCGCCCTCTCCCTAATGTAGAGAAGGCATGGCTTCGCGCTCATCCTCCATAAGGAGAGGATGTCGTGCCGCATCATAAAACCATGTGCTGCAACGGTTACATGCCGCCAGGCTTTTAAAAATCAACGCTGCTCATTTGACAAACATGCGACATGAATCTCTCCCTTTCTCCAAGTTCTTGTTGTGCAACGCACAGTGTGTCATGTCTAAGCTTTCGTCAGTCGGTGAGTAAAGGATAAAGTGACCATATTCCGCAGACACTGAAGCGGGAGTGGGGATTGACTAAGAGGACATAAATAGCTCAAGCACGAAAATTGCACTTCTGACAGTTGAGCTGTTTTATGCTTGCGGCAGGTCCACGTAGTTTTACAGAAAATGCAGCCTTACGGTTGCATATAACTGGGCATCTCCCACTCTCGCGTACAACAGGAGCAAAAGAAAGCGAGTTTATTAGAGGAAAAGAGTGGAGCGTAGGGGTGGGGAAGGAGGTTGAAGCCTAGATGGGATAGTACTGAGGCAATGGACTCTGGAAAGGTGGAGAAGGCTTCATGAAGAGGGAAGGTGAGATTATAACCAGGGTACTCGTGGACCACAGGCGAGCGGTGCAATGATTTGGCCGTCCAGACGCGATAGCTGAACAAGCATTTATGGGAAACATAATATTGCGTTGCTATGGTCAAGAGAACGAGAAAAAGGTCGAACAAAAACAAAATTGGAAGGAATCAAGGACAGAAAGGGAAACATAGAAAGAGATAGAAACAAAGCAGGTCATAAGTCATAAATAAGCACAATGTGTTAATTAACAAATGCACAATTTGGCTTTAGATGCGGCAAGTTTACTGAACTGCATTGGTGACATTAAAAGAACCTATGCAGAAGACTGTCAGTAAATAGAACTCCTGTTGAATGGAACACATTTTTTCAGTCCCTTCAGGTTCGGTTTATCGAGAGTCTAATGTACAACTTTTAACAAAAGAAGATACATTAAAATCAAACGGAAATCGTGTTGTTGGTGAATCAATACTTCAACCATATCTTAACAATAGGTGCCAACGTGTTTACATTAACAAAAAGTACCGTAATTTTTCGCTATAAGCCGCACCGAAAATTGAAAAAAACAAATTGCCTGAATAGTGGGGGAGGGGGGGGGGTGCTGGTTATCCGAAAGCAGAAGTCTGCTTCATGCAATGCATGGCATCCCGTGCAGGCCGCATCCCCATCGGCATCGTTCAGTGCAAAGCCAATAAAAGCCAACACAGACAGATCCCCTCCGTAGCGTGTTTATTCACTTTTTGCGTGCTTTGTTTGATTTGGTCAACAGTGTCACAACAGCGATTTGACGGCGTCTTTTTCCGAGTCGGGCGTGGCCAGTTTGCACTGTTGGTCAGCCTTGTCTGGTGAGGCACCATGAGTGGGTCTCGACAGCAATCTTTCACGACCGTGACAGAAAAACTTAAGATTATAGTAGCTGCGGCAGAAATCGACAACAAAGCTGCTGCGAGGCATGACGTCGACGAGTCCTGCATTCGCAACTGGCGGAAAAAAAAAAAGACCTCTCTCGAAAGTATACGCAAGGAGAAGCGAGCATTTCGTGGTCCGAAGATTGGTACATACACCCTTGTTGAGATGCAGCTTGCTAAATTTATTGAGGAGTGGAGGAGTCGCGGCCACACTATGTCAATGGAGATGGGGCAAATGGAAGCGCTGAGGTTGGTCCGCGAAATAAACATCTCGCGCGAGTTTCGTGCGAGCCGTGG